GTTCGTATTTACCGTAATAGTTACTAATTGGTTAACTTCCTTTCTTACTGTCCTTCTTGATTCATCGTCACGTTTTTGACTCTTTCCTTTTTTTCTTGCCTGTTTGGGCCATCTTCTTTTTACTCAGATTTATGCTATGTTTGTTTGTTACAGAGCAACTTCTACTCGTCGAAAACATGCTAAGAAGAGGGAAGTCGTAAATTACACGTTTTGAATATAAAACGAGGAGCTTGAATGCCATTCACCGATGAGGTTAATTGAGTTGTAGGTACATTTCTCGAGGGTCCATAATATTTACGTAGGATTCGCCTTTTAAACCATCCCCCTTCTTCATCAAATAATAACGGAGGCGAAAGGTAAGCTGACTTTTTAAGCACCCAATTTACCGAAAGGTAACTTTTCAAAGCGTCCACTTCGTAAATATTTGACAAGCGCACAACCACGTCAAATGGAATACGAACCCCTCGCACATTAGCCGAATTGACTAATTGATGACGGCGGGGGATACTTCGTAATGCGTGCTTTAAGAATACTCGCCGAAATTGGATTGAAATGATGGCGCTTTTAAGCTAAAATATTGCGAAATTGTAAAGGTACACCTTTCTAGTGCTCCTAATATTGGATTTTAACGTAAAAACCGCTCTCTAAGGTAAAAGCAGTAAAACTCGACGAAAGGACGTTAAAATTGCATTAGTTACATAATGTAAGGGGTATCGTATATTCAACTTTAGCGGGTGAAGAATGCGCGGGCGAATAATGGAGGGAAAAGTAGAATGTACGATCAATTTTGTTGGTGGAACGAAATAACCATTAAGATAGGTAAGTGAAATATCGCGCTCGAATAATATATCAATTGGGATCTGTAGGAGAAGATTACGTTTATTGAAAAGCTTTTGGTGCAATTGAAATATAAGGGAACAGGCATCTGCGATGTGGATACGAGGACCTCTGAATAGACACATACCGTATTTGTCGTTGGTTTGTTTTAAAAAAAAGTAATTTTTTTAATTATAAAAAGTAGATAGTGTTGAGATACAACAAAATTCTAGAACGTATACCTCGGAAACTCTATGAGAGACTAGTATGAACTATGAAAAGAAGAAAGAAAGAGCAGAAGGTAGGTGAAACAAGGCAAGAAGTCAAATATGTTAGTACTGCCCAAGAAGAAGCAGACGAGAAGACCAGGCGAATGAACAGAAACAATATACCAGGAGAAGCGTAAGGAAAATAATGTAGATAAAGATAGAAAAGGAAAGCAAGAAGATGATGTGATAAAAAGACCAGAAGATGGAAAGAAATAAAAAAAGGAAAGAAGACGTAAAAGGAAGAAGGAATAAGATGATAAGGTTAGGAATACAATGAGGTCACCAGAAGAAAGACATGAAGACAAGATAAATTCTAACGGAAGAAACAGGCAAGAGCTAGGTAAAAAGATTATAAAAAATTAATAAGATAATAAATGAAGGCCAAGAAAATGAAAAAAAAAACGCAAAAGGAGACAAAAAGAACGCAAAAATAAGACAAGAATAAGGAATTTAAAAATTTCAAAACAGAACAGGAAAGACATGACGCACGCAAGAAGAACCATACAATACGCAGGACCGAGGCAAGATAAGAACTGCCTATACGCATGACAAGAAGGGAAATGAGGAAGACAAATAATAGTATATAGGAATACAAAAAACGGCGAAGAAACAACACAAGAAAAGCAAATAAAACACAAAAAGGATAAGAATGCACAGGACCAAAAAAATCAGACGACAAATTCGAAAGAGAGGGAGAGGTTGAGGATGGGAGAGACAAGAACAATAGCACAAGGAAAAGAATGGAAAGACAAAGAGGAGATCCTGTAAGAAGAACGCAAGTAAAAGAAAAAAGGAAGTAATGTTAAAAAAGAAGGCGAAAAGCAAAAAGAAAAGAGACATGGACCAGTTGAAAAAAGTTGAAGACTGTAAAAAGACGCGAAGAGTGTAACGGGAAGGTAAGGAGGGTATATGAAGAAGGTAAAAGAAAAAAAGAAAAAGGGAAGTAGGTACCAAACAAAATGAAAATAGAAAAAGCGAAAAAATACAAAACGAAGAAGAGAAGAAAACTGGAAAATGAAAAGAGAACGCAAGCAAAAGGAAGGAAGGCTAGAAGAAAACCAGCAAAACATAAGAAGGATAAGTTCGAGAACAAGATAGGAAATCTAAAATAATGTTAGTACGGGATAAGAAGAAGCAGTCAAAAAGAGTCTGATATATAATCATATAACAAGGACGGGTAGTGACTAATCCAAAAATCTTTTGTCGTTCTGGTCTCGGGGCTGTGTGTGAAAGAAACCACAACGAAAAAGCTCAAACTGGAGGAGTAGTAGTGTTACAGACGGACAGATGGACAATAGCGTTCATTCTCCTTTTGGAAAATGCGTTGACAAAGAGACCACTGATTTGTAACCCCAGAATATTGCAAGAAGAACAGAAGAAAGCCAGAATGAGGCGACTAAAAGAAGACAACAAAAAGATGCGAACAATGTAACGGGAAGGTACGAAGAGAACAGAAGGTAAGAAAAAGAAAGAGCATATAACAAAAAGGGAATATGAGAAAATAACAAAAAATTGAGTAGAAAACAACACGAATAAGAGAAAGAGGCGGTAAATCAAAGAACACAAGAAAATGCAGACGAAACCTAGGACGGTCAGAAGAAAACAAAATAACAAACAGAACTATAAGAAGACGAGAAAAATGCAAAATAACAAAAGAACACGAACACAAAGTTAATGCAAACAGAAGGAAGGCCAGCATAGGCTAACAAGAAGATAAGAAGAAATGCAAAATAATTAAAATGCAACAAAAAGAATACAAGGATAAGCGACGAAGAAAGCCAGATAAAAACGTGAAAATGAAGCAAAGAGAAATGACGGAAAAAAGCAAATCTGGAGGCAAGGTGATAGCAAGATGAAGGCAAGCGGCAATAAAGAGAGAAGAAGATATTATAAAAGCCAAGAGAAGCATATAACAAGCAGAGGGAAAGAGCAGGGGAATGAAAGGTGTAAAGAAATTACGGAGAGAGCCGGAGGAGGAGTAGAAACAGATAGGTAGACAAATGGAGATGAAAGATCAGGAATTAGAACGCAAGAAGAAGAATAAGAAGGAAAGCGGAAAATACGAATGATAAAGGAAGGGTGGGAGGCAGAATAAGATATGAAGTTAAGTAGAAAGCAAGAAGAATACCGTGCTATTCTTATCGAATACCAGAAAAGGAGGTGTAGAGTAAGATGTTCAGAAAAACACAAGATGGAAGCTAGAAGAGGTGATAAGACGGAAAGACTACGTGGAGGAAATAGGTGGAAGAGATGTAACCCAAGACCAAATGAGACAAGAAGGAAAGGAAAAAAAGATAAAGTGAGCACAGATGAAGAAAATAAAAGGCAAAGAAGACTAATAGATGATGGAAGAAGCAAGAGAAATTAAAAAAAAGGTATACGGCGAAAATGAAAAGAGGTAGATAAGACGAGAAGAAAGTAAGAAGATAACAAGAATCCACCAGAAAAAGAAAGTCAAACGGACACAATAAAGGATTGAAAGAAAATGCTGGAAAATGCCAGGATATTTAACAAATGATAAGAGGTTGAATCGTACTTTTTGGGATGTGCATTATGTTTTGTAAATGAGAAGAAGAAGAAAACAAGAAGTCGCCATAGTAAGGCAAGAAAAATACAATGTGAAGATATACAATAAAAGCAAATACGACAAGACTATACAAAAAAGTGAAGACGATGGCAAGATAAAGAAAAACCCCAAGAATGAGGCACAGAGAAGGGAAGCAAAAAAAGCGAAACACGAAAAAGACAAGAATATAGCAAAATGAAGTAGAGTAGATAAAGAGGGGAAGAAGATATGACAAAGGGAAAAAGAAGCCCACAGGGTGCAGGAGGAAGTAAAGGATTCTGATAATAAAAAAATAAATGAAATGAATGCAAAAAAAACAAGAAGAAAGCCATGAAGAAATATGCCGGGAAAAGAAAGAAATCACACGAAAAACAGGATGGATGGTAAGTAGGAAAAGATAAAAAAAGATTAAAAAGATAACAAGAATCAGCATGCAAGAAGAAGAAAAGGAAGTATAAGGCTAGGGAAAGAAAAACAGGAGCAAAATTAAAGTGAGAAGAAAAGAAAATAAGAGAAAGCTATGTAGAAGAAGAAGACAAAAAATGAAAGGCCAGTAACTATAGCGCATTTTCCATGAATTCCTATAAGTAAATAAGGAACTTTTACAATATGCGATATGCTTGTCTTGACTAAAAGCATATGTGGTTCAAATTTCAAGAAAATATCTCCAGAAATAAGATGACATTGCGGAGTTTGCACATGCGCACTTTAATCCTCAAGATTTGTCTTGGTTTAGGACACACAAATTCAAAAACAATGCTAGCAGAATACAAGAAGAAGACAAGACGAAGATAACGGAAGCAACCAAGAAGGCAACTATCTGAAAAAAAACAGCTAAAAGGAAAGCAAAGCGAGGCAGGTGTGAGGCGATAAAAGAAAGTCAAAAATGAGAAGGCCCCATCCGGAACTATGGTTTTTCGTCCAATAAATCACACATTCAATTTCTCTAACTCAAAAAATTTCGAGTCTTTAAGCCATGATAAAGTGTTGAAGAGTGCTCTTGGGCTTTGTTGGTACTTAGCTATAGAAATTGTCCATACATGTATTCCTAATACAAAAATTCTCAGAAGTGTACCCCAAAATCGAGTGTTGAAACATTCCACTGGATTAGAGAGGCACTTATGTACTATGGTACTCTCTGTGCAACTAGAGAAAATGTGCAAAGCTTTCCTGATACTCAATTTATATATTAGAAGTAAAATAAATCTTCACGCATTATGTTCTCCTGATACTACTAAAAAATTGGCATCAAGCTTCTTCTTGATGAACAGCTGAAGAATATATATTTTTCAAGGTGGAGTCGAAGTGTTAAATTAAATCTTGAAGGAATTACCCAATGAAACCCTGCCGAATTTAAATAGAATTTTATTTCTTTATTTATTGAAGCTTAGGGTACATTTGATTAAGTCTCTTGATGTCAATTTCGCTTAAACCGACTCTTTGTCCAATGACTGCCGAACTATCCTAAAATCATATCGTTCAGAAATGAGGTGGGGGCTGAAGTAAAGCTTACGTGTGGAATGATGGTCGATTCTCCATTGATGGAGAACGCCTTTTCGCTGTAGTGCATCACGCTACCATAGTCGTATGTCCCGCCAAATTCGCCGATGACGCTAGAGTCGTATTTGTCGAAGTTGAATGCGTGGTCCGGAGCTATATTGTCCCATACGATGGTGACATAGTCATCTCTGTTGGTAGCGCTCTGCTGGTGGTAAAATCCGAAAGCGTGGAGGAATTCGTGAACTATAGTTCCGGCTCTCAGGCAACCGGGTGCTAAATTCAATACCTGAACGTTCCCTACTCGACCGATGAAGGAGGAGCATCCCGTTGCGTTTCTCTGTAAAGGCGATGTTTTCGGGTACGAATATAACTTTGTGAGCACTTACGTTGACGTAAACGTAGTCCACATCTGACGGTGTTCGGGGTCGGACCCTCACATTGGTCGCCTCGTATTGTGTCAATGCCGTAACAATTTTCTCTCTCTCTTCAAAAGTGTAGTCGGAATCAAGCTCGTAAGGTATTTCGTTATTCCACCATCTGAGGGTCTCATCCAAGATACCAGTTCGCGGATCCCTCCTCAAAAGAATGTCACCTTCAAATTGGCCACTCAGTTCCCAAATGTTCTCGGAATCATCCTCGGTCCACTCTTCCAGTCGTTTTGCTAATGGACACGTTGTTGTTATATAAAATTGGAGAAGAAAATTAATGTTACCTTGGTCTGGAGAAAGGTGTTGTTCAAAGGTTTGAAGAGGGTGCGCAGCAATTACTCCCAAAAGGGAAAATAGTACGATGGAGCGGAACATCGTCGAAAAGTAACGCTTGTTTGAGGAGGTTTCATTTATATTGCAATTTTATCACTCGATCAGATTTTGATAATGTTTCTAATTATAGTTACATCTCGAGGGTACTCCTGAAGATTGCACCTTTTCGAAATAAGTGATAAAATGGATTGTGTCAGCATGATCAGTCAAAAGAGCAAGATAACGATTTTTTAAACTTCTAGATCTTCATGAATATCGAGATATTTAGAGGCATGTTGTAGGTTGATTAGGTGGTGAAGATTCGGCTAGCAGCTCCCTGAAAGGTCTCTAAAGAAATAGTAGGGAATATTTTAGTTCTAAAGTACATAACTAGATGAAGAGGAGAAGATGACAAAAGCAAGGAAAAGCACACAAGAAGAAAGGATCAGGATCAGTAAAATCTTGTCGAAGGTTACCAGATTCTTTGTCAGTGCCCTCTTCTGACGCCTTACGTAGATGCTTCATTTTGGTGGAATTCGCAAAAGTCCTCCGCAACACGAGCAAAAGAAACCTCGATTTAAGCTTTAAGAACATTTAAACAGCATGACCCAATTAGCAGCAGAAGGGAGCCCGAAAGCGACACACCCTCGACCAGGCGCGCCTTATAAAAAGTGATTAATTTCGTCCTTTAGAAAAAACAAAAATTCGTGACGCATCGGTTGCGCGGTTCTGACGACACCAGTTTGAAACCAATCGGACCAAAACTGCAGAAGATAGGAAAATCTGAAAAATCACCACGTCAGTAAACCACGCTCGGATGGCGCTCAGATGTCGCCGAACCCATATCACATATCCCCGTCCCGAAATTTTTAATTACACGGTGCGGTAGTTAGCCGGCTAGCCAGCCAACCAGCCAGACAGCTGACCTAAGTGAGATTAAAAGCTACTTTTTTCCAAATAAATTTGCAAAAATACGCCAAAAGGAAGGCGAAAAGATAAGAATCATCTTACAAAAAGAAGAAAAAAATGCAAAAATAAGGCAAGACGAAGAAAAACAGCTCAATTACCGTGAGAATAAAAAATTATGCGAGGATATGTAGAAGAAGAGGAGGAGAAAACAAGTAGAAAGCGAGAACAATACAACGTAAGTGTGTACAAAAGACCAGAAGGAGGCTGGAAGAAAGACATGGATGAATACGAGTAATACGACCTGAAAGTAACGGGATAATAGGACATGGGCGAAAGAAGGAGTTAAGGAAAAGGTAATAAACTGATCGGAAAAATAGAAGATAAAAGCAGGAAGAAAGAAAGAGTAGTGCAGCAGGAAACGGAAAGGAGCGTGGTAAGAAAGTACGAATCTATGTTTGAGCGAAAGGGAAAGAAAAAGGAGAAGAGGAAGGCGGATTAAAAGACCGAAAAGGGCTATAGATAGTCTTGAAGACAACGCGAAAGAGGTGTGAATGCAGACTGATCGGTATAAAGGTGGTGCAAAATGATATGTCAACGGAGAAGAGACACAGAAAAGATACTTGCATATAGAGTATGGAAAAGTGGGTAGGGCTCCTTATTGTCTCCTCATACAAAATTGGCAAAAATTTAAATCGAAGTAAAACGTTGAAATACTTCTCACAGTGATAGAAAAACACCTCTTCCTCCATAATGTTCTCCTGGTAGCCAGAAAAATTTTACAATCGTTTGGGAACAAATACTGCACGTATTGGGAGCAGAACCACCTCCTTGTTCATTATAATTATTCTCCTGATACAAAATTGGAAAAAATTAAATCAAGGTAAATCGTTGAAATACTTCTCATAGTGATAGAAAAAGACCTCTTCGTCCATCATGTTCTCTTGGTAGCGAGACAAATTTTGCAATAGTTTGGCAACAAATACTCCACGTATTGGGAGCAGAACGACTTCCTTGCTCCTTATATTCTCCTGATCCAAATTGGCAATAGTTTAATCGGAGTAAAGCGTTGAAATACTTCTCATAGTGATAGAAAAACACCTTTTCGTCCATAATGTTGTCCTGGTAGCCAGAAAAATTTTACGATAGTTTGGCAAATACACGTACTGGAAGCACAACGACCTCCTTGTTCATTAGATTCTCCTGATAGAAAATTGGTAAAATTTAAATCGAAGTAAAGCATTGAAACACTTCTCATAGTGATAGAAAAACTCCTCTTCGTCCAACATGTTCTCCTGGTAGCCAGAAAAATGTTACAAGAGTTTTGCAACAAATACTCCACGTATTGGGAGCAGAACGGCCTCCTTGTTCATTAAATCTCCTGATACAAAATTGGCAAAAGTTAAATCGAAGTAAAGCGTTGAAACACTTCTCATAGTAATAGAAAAATAGCTAAAAATACCTCTTCGTCTATCATGTTCCCCTAGTAGCCTGAAAATTTTTACAATAGTTTTGCAACAAATACTCCACGTATTGGGAGCAGAACGACCTCCTTGTTCATTACATTCTCCTGATACAAAATTGGCAAAAGTTAAATCGAAGTAAATCGTTGAAACACTTCTCATAGTAATAGAAAAATACCTAAAAATACCTCTTCGTCTATCATGTTCCTCTGGTAGCCAGAAAATTTTTACAATAGTTTGGCAACAAATACTCCATGTATTGGGAGTAGAACGACTTCCTTGTTCATTATATTTTCCTGATACAAAATTGACAAACATTTAAATAGAAGTAAAGCGTTCAAATACTTCTCACACTGAGAGAAAAATACCTCTTCGTCTATCATGTTCTCCTGGTAGTCAGCAAATTTATACAATAGTTTGACAACAAATGCTCCACGTATTGGGAACAGAAAGACCTCCCCTCGTGCATTATATTCTCTTGATGCAAAATTCGCAAAAGTTAAATCAAAGTAAAGCGTTGAAATGCTTCTCATAGGGACAGGATAGAGGTCCATCATGTTGTCCTGGTAGTCAGAAAAATTTTACAATAGGTAGGCAACAAATGCTCCACGTATTTGGAGCAGAACGACCTCCTTGTTTATTATATTCTCCATTGGAAAAAATTTAAATCAAAGTAAAGCGTTGAAATGCTTCTCATAGGGACAGAATAGAGGTCCAACATGTTATCCTGTAGTCAGAAAAATTTTACAACAGTTAGGTAACAAATTCTACGTATTGGGAGCAGAAGGACCTCCAGATACAAAATTGGCAAAAATTTAAATAAATGTAAAGCGTTGAAATACTTCTCACAGTGATAGAAAAACACCTGTTCGTCTATCATGTTCTCCTGGTAGTCAGCAAATTTATACAATAGTTTGGCAACAAATACTCCACGTATTGGGAGCAGAACGACTTCCTTGTTCATTATATTCTCCTGGCAAAAGTTAAATAGCGTTGAAATACTTCTCATAGCGATAGAAAAACATCTTTTCGTCCATCATGTTCTCCTGCTAGGAAGGTGGGATACATGAAAGAAGGTGGAGTGTAGGAAGGGGATGTAAAATTAAAAAAAATCGTTAGAAAAAGTAAGATCCCAAAGGACGCGTAGGAAATAAACAAAGCACTTTTTAGGGCTAAAAGAAAGTATGAAAAGAGCATGGAGAGGAAAAGTATGAAAGAAGGGAGCGTGAAAAAAGAGGCGTGAAAAAAGCGTGAAGGGAAGTCACTTTTAGATAAAGTGCATTACTATAGAAAACGGAGAGTCGTGTAGGAGAGTGGCATAGATGCTATATTGGCGTAAAAGAGGTAGGAATTGTAACAGGGGTCTTAGCAAATAGTCTGAAAAAAGAAGCGCAGAGGACATCTTAAAAAAAACATAACAAGAAGGCAGAAAAGAAGAGGCATCGACTACTACAAGACACAGGATCAGGCTGAAAAGGAAGCGTTAAAGGGAGATGCGTAGGTACGGGATTCAACAAGCACGCAGAAGGACGAAGGGGAATGTTGTGAAGAAGCGGAATATGAACGGTAGATTGGTAAAGAAAGCGTGAAGAAAAAACTCGTGACATTAGGAAACATAAAGTCACCATGAAACAGATGTGAACGTGGCGTGAAAGAGCAGTGAACAAAAGTAATGAAGAAGGCGCCAAGTAGGTACAAAAGAAACGCGAAAGATAAATGGTAATGAAACAAGCGTGGGGGGAAACAATTTTGAGAAAATTGATGATGACCTGGTGTAACGAAATGAGACGCAAAAACATCAAGAAGAGAAATACCTGAAAGACCACAAGAGAAATAAGAAACGTGGAGGAAGATGGCGGGAAGAAAAAGAGGCTGCAGTAAGGGGTGGAAAAATGTAAAATCGGTGATCTGGGGGGGGGGGGTATTCCAATACTCCCCAGGCCCCCCTGGAAATAAGATTTAATGCTCGTTTGGCTACAACTGTTGTGAGACCCCCCCCCCGCGACGCCTATGTCTGAGGACCCTTGAAAAATTATGGTGTAGGTACTGTTAAAGACACTAAAAATTTTGGGTCTAGAGGGTATGGGATGATAAAGTTGGAAACTTGGTTTCAACAGGTCGGCGCACTCGCACACAACGCCCTAATCGTGCGAGAATACCTATCGGACAAATTGTCCATTCTGCAGGAAATGTGTGCGATAGGTATCATCTTGAATGTGTTGCTAGTAACCGCACTTGACGGTAAGATTAAGTGGTGCCATCCTGCATATTCTTATATAAGAGACAACGAGATCACCTAGTTGAAAAGAGATGACAGTCGAACGATTTAAAAGGCATTACTTTCATATTCTTAAGTGATTTTTAGATATTACCGATAATGGCTATCCTATCACTGATAAAACGTTGCATTTTATTGTTTAAAGACAATTAATGATAGCACTATCTCGATGGTTCTGAAACATTCTGTACTAATCGCGCCTTTTTTTAGATTAAAAAATCCAGTTTTTTTACGTACAAAAAGCGGTTATGCGCCCTTTGAGAAATAAGAGAAAAAGATGATACTTGCACAGGAAAAATAATGTACAATTTTGAGAAATAGGTAATGATAAGTTGTCTGCTATACGCAGGTTCTATTTTGCTGTCTCCACTCCTCTCTATCCAATAGCCTTTCCTTTGATATCGACCTATCAGAGTGATCGTCTACCATTTTCACTCACCTTCTTAATTTAACAGCTACTAAAAGTGAAAAC